TGCGAGAAAGTAAAATCCGATAGAAAGACATACTGCTCTCTTACTGATAACCAGCGAACGCGTATGATAGCAGCGAGAAAGTAAACGACCACTCGGACTGCCTTCCAAAGAGATGATGCAAATAAATCGAGCAGGTGGAGGATGCCTATCGGTGGTGTGTAACCCTGGATCGAAGGACCTTATACAGTCCTACTCGGTGTGCATGCATTCCAGAAACATCACCACCTTTGATGTCTTTACAAAATTTAGAGGTGTTAAAACAGAACATTTCATTGTCAAGTATTTTATTTTCCAGTTATTTACACATAAAGTGAGAAGAGACCACTAAACAAGCGACCAGTAATAGATCTACAGAATTTCTCTTCCGGAAATTGTATTCACAAACAGAGCATTGAGATGATTTCTCTACCAGTATCATGCCTGGTCGGATTAGTAAAAGACAGGATCACTCGTTTTTTTCTCCAGGATTTTTGTCCACATACATGGACTGCTGCCGATATACTATAAAGTTATTCAAAGAGTGGCAGTAACAGGAGGGCCGGGAGGTGGTAATGATGCCGAGAGGTATTTGCTAGTTTCACCACCTTTGGCCAATTCCTCTTCTTGTTTCTTCACCAGCTCTTGAATAAGCTTTTTGTCCATTTTAGCCAAATAAGCTTCACAAGCTTTCTTCGCAACCGGGAACTGAAAGTGTGCAAATTTAGAAAAGAATCAAAGCTAAAAGAGATACTGGTGTGATAATATGCATATAAAAAAATATAAATATGCAGAAATACGTATATATATAAGGGATTAAATGTATAATTGAGTAATATCTGGAAGATATGGGACGACAAAAAAAAAGATTATAAGGAGCGAGTGACCTGATAAATTCGTTATAGAATGAGGGGAAAAATTTTGAGGCAAGTGAAGTTGGAAGTGAAGAACAAAAATGAGGGAAAAGATGGAAGGGATTAAAAACATCCCTTTTCCTATCTCCGGCTAGACATATTTCTGCATAAGGCTTGGCTGTATAAACAGCAGAACTAATCCTTTCCAGAATATAATGCAAATACGAAAATCACCTGAATTTTTAAATTGAGCCTTATTTTTGAGGTTTATTACTCCGGTTTTTCCCCGAAAAGAATTTAGAAAAGAGAAAAAAAAAAACGAACAGGCACAAGCATTGGGTATAAATTGCGAATCTCTTCACGAATGTACCAGCATGTAATAATTGTCACGCCCAGGATGACTAGCATTGGAATAAGATAACCAAAAATGATCAGTATGAATACCATCTGGCTAAAAAACTGCCATTTTGTCTGGCTCATTTGTGTTTCGAAAGATTTAGCTTAATTTTTTGAAAAAAAAAGCTCCCAGCATTGGTGGCATTAACATGGAATTTATCAGATCCACAAGGTAAGGACTCTGGAAAGCTCTCGCCATTAAATTATCGATAGATGGCTGAAAGAAGTCTCTCGAGCAGTTGGAAGAAGTCGAAAACTATTCCAGCACAAAAAATGCGATATCTGAAGAGCTGCTGCTGGAACTGCTTACTCTTCTATGGTTTACAAACT